ACAAGGAAGTAGGGTTTTTCCGTAAAGGGAGAAACGCGAAAACCGGGAGACACAGAAGTGTCTTTGGGATTTCCGGCTTATAAGAGCTTTCACTGTTATTAACAACCGAGGGGGTGGCGTGACGTAGTAGGTCAGCTGGGGTCTCGCTATATAACGAGTGTAGCAGAGCCAGTAGGTGGGTTGAGTGAGTTGAGTAGGTGGGTTTGAAGTTGTGGCGAGAGACAGCAGTTGTGGCGGGGGGCCGGAGCTGTTGGGCGTTTCGGAACAATGCCTTGTATCCGATTGAGATGTCGCTTGAGTGTTTATATAGAATTCTGGTATCTCTCTTTTCGAGAAAACACGGAAGTCTCTTTGTTAAGTGAAGCGGATAGTGTTTATCGTACTGAAGTGTGGATATTAGCAAGTCTCTGATGAATGAAACCGGTCAGGTCGTAGCAGCAGGCCGCTTGAGCAGCCGCCCTTGCAGTGAAAATCTACGTTCGTTACTTGTGTCACGACTTCCCTACCTGCGACTTGGTCTCGCTACGGCGCGACAAGTACCCTGGGAGCAACGTCGGGTTGAGCCTGCTCCGCACGTTGTTGTTACATGAAAGTACGCGCAGTCTTCCCTTCACTGGCAAGTAGGGTGTGGCGATCGTTGTGAGTTGAGCCTACGCTCTTCTGCGAGTCGTTTAGTGGACCTGCGGGGGAGAAGCGAGGGAGGTCGCGGTGCATATGCGAGCCAGGCTCGCGAGGCTGGAGTCATTAGTTGACGAAGCCTGCGGACTTTATGTGGTGAGGTGACTGGTGAGGTGTGGTGAAAAATCGCGACGTAATATAAAGATAAATTTATTTATACTGCTATTGGGTATAACCAGATGGCAGTGAATTACATAAATAAGGATATATAACATAAAAAATATATAATAATAATGGCTCAGTAATAAAAAGACTGGGATAATAATAATAATAATAATAATAATAATAATAATAATAATAATAATAATAATAATAAAATTATTATATAAAATTTCACTGATTCAAAATACATTAAGTTACACTAAGAAACAAAAAGCTACGCACTGATTATTTGTACAATTTAATTTGTAATATTGGTACAATTAAGATCACACTTCATTTCACTTCACTTCACTATGACCTGTCCCACCTTTAATCACTTCCTTCGTTATTTCTTTACTCTGCACTGAACGACACCTCACTTCATAATATGACGCTTATGCATCACTATATACCTTACTATTCTTACAGAAGGCCTTCATTTACTTAATAATAACAACCTAAATTAATCTCCTAAACCGTTAAACGCTCGAGGAAAGTGTACAAAGGTCTTTGCATGTAATATATTCCATTCCGGTATCGCCATTTCCGTTAACGTCAATAATAAAATTCTACATTTAGTAGACTTATTCAGAACAAAAATCCCTCATCAGCCTGTCGGGATGTTTTGTATGGTATGGTGCTTCACTTTCGTTCTGGGGACGTGCACAATGGCAACGAGCAGTTGGGGGGCGGTCTACGAACTTGCATTAAGCCCATTTAGTCCCTGATATAAACATACAACCATAATAACGGTGCGGCGTTATTGACGTGATGACAAAGACATAAATAGATAACGCGGCCGTAAGAAAATAGAAAAATAAACGTCGAAACGTGGCGGTATCTTTCACACCAAAACCCCCTTTCCATTTTTAGTTGCACCACGCCTTCTCGGGGTGTATCGCGCGCACTCGCGTATCAGCAGCCGCCTGGTCGGTGTGGCCTGGTTGCGGCGTGGGCGCCGCGGAGGGAGCGGGGTCCAGGGCAGCCTGGACGCCATATCGCCTCTGATATAGGCGATCGGCCATAACTCAGAGGCGGCGATGTCTGTGTTCGATAGCTCGCCGCGGCGCATTTCCTTCGGCCGGCCGCAGTCCCCAGCGGCGCCGCCGATGAAATATGCGCCCACTAATGGAGGAGGTGAGCACCGGCGCCGCCGCCCCCACAACGGCCCATTAGCCCACGTGCGGCGCGCCGAGGGCGGCCGGAGGGCGGCCGGAGGGCGGCGGGTGGGGAGATGAGAGGCAGCTGGGCCCGGGAGCCGCCGGGGGTGCGGCGCCCGTGATGGCTGAGCTCCTGTGACGTTCACCCCTTCCCCGCTCGGTCGGGTGGCGTTTGGGCTTTGGGAGCTGCCACTCCTCACGTACGGTCCAAAAAAAGTTATTACTGGACTTGAGAGTCACTTCGTGTACGGAAATGCAACAAGGCTATTAAACATAGATGTTTGAGTCTATACATTTATTCCCATTGCCACAAAAATAGGACGTCAACTTCTTTCTCAGCTCAAATTACTTATATTATTGATATTAGTACTTACATATGTCCCTCGTTTTTAAACATTTCTGGTATATTTGTACCAATCTTACTATTCTACGAAAAAGAAAAAATATTAACATAAGCCATAATGAAACGATACTTATGTATATACTTATGTAGTATATACTTATGTATATACTTATGTAATGTCATAGTTGGTATGTCATTCAAATGTTTATATATTTGAAAATATTTATAAATTTGTCCCAATAGAAAGTTCCGTGTTCTCTAGATACCGTCCGTCAACTTCTAAAGGACTTGAGTTCTCGATAAATCTCAGTATTTTCGTGACATACTTCTTTAAGAAAAATGAAGTACACTGAAATAGTTCTTGCCATTTGATAAAGACTACTACCGTCTACTACCATGAAGAATGTATTTGTCTACTATTTAATCGTGAAATATAACCAAAAGATAAGGAGAGTTAAATCGTGAAGCCATTCTTGACTGCGCTATGCTGATAAAGGAAAGCCGAAAGCAACTGCAAAATACCCAATTCACGTGATAAATGTGAAGAAATGAAACTATCGTCATCGACCTGTGAGTTAGAAACTGAAGAACGATCTCCTTTTCGCCGACAAAGACTTTTTAAGCGGGTCCCTTTGTAAGAACAATGCTCCGATATTCGCAATGTATTGATCAAAGCAACAATGAAAAACTACCAACTGAGCAGCCAACCCCCAGAATTCTCTTCCGAGAAGCTAGTGAAATCGAGCTATGTACAGTTAATGACGAAAATTCACTACGTTTGCGAATCGAACTCTTAAAACACCCGGCCAAAGACACTACAGTTGTGAACTCTCTTGAAATTAAGACACTCTTCATTAGTGTCAATAATCTCGCTTTCATCCACAACATTTAGTACCAATACACGAACGCTTCAAATGTATGTTTCGTGCGTACATTTTTTGGTGTTCAACACGGATGTATTGCCTACGGAATCTCGAGCGCTGGAAGTGACGGCGTGCGACCACGTGATGTCACGCCGGTCGCTGCAATGCCGGGTCCCCGAGGGCGCCGCGTCGCCCACACCGGCCGAGCTCCCCTTCGACGCGCCTTCACGCCGCAGCCCCACTCCGCACCCAGCCCCCCACTCCA